TTGGTTGTTGCTTGTTGTTTGCTGTTTGTTGATTGCTGCTTGTATTTTGTTGTCGTCGTCCTGTCCGAGACCGACCCAGGACCCACCCGCGACCCACCCGCGACTCACCCGCGACCCACCTGGGACCCACCCGCGACCCACCCGCGTCCGACTAGCGACCCACTCCACGACTCGCCTACGACATACTCGCGACCCACCCGCGACCCACCCCGCGACCCGCCCCACGACCCGCCCGCGACGGGCACGCGACCCGCCCGCGACCCACCCGCGACCCACCCGCGACCGACCGAGCAACCCGCCCGTGACCCACCCGCGATCCATGGGCGACCCACGCGCGACCGCCCCGCGACCCTCCCGCGACCCGCCATGCGACCCACCCGTAATCCACCCGCGATTCACCCGCGATCCAGCCGGGACCCAGCCGGGACCCAGCCGCGACCCGCCATGCGACCCACCCGCGTTTCGCCCGCGACGCACCCGCGACCCATCCTGCGCCCGCCCCTCATTCGTATCCGCCATTGCGGGGTGCTATGTATATACAACAACCCACTGTACGTGGTCCACAACTGCAAACATGCAGTGGTTGGTTTCTCCGTTGTTGCATCCTTCCATGTGTATGCTGATTGCTGTTGCTGTATCCTCGTCGTCGGCCCCTCCGTCGACTTCTTCGTTCTCGTCCTCGTCGCCGCCGTCGTCGTCTTCGGCTCGACGGTGAAGTGATGGACGTGTTGAAGGACAGAGGGGGTGAGAGAAGAGACTCGAGGGTCGAGGATCGAGACCAATCAGGTCGCGACCTCGGGTTTCTGTCTTGGTGTCAGTCGGGTGGTGCTCTATGGTTTCTGCCCCATGGTATCTTTGAATGCTTCGACGTTCGACTTCTTAGCCCAATGGCCCAATGCCCTATGGATGGAACTCTATGGTTGGTGACCCAGGATGCCTTTTAATACTGAAATGTTGTCGCTTTTGTTCTGGTGCCCTACTGGCGGTGCTCTGCGGCAAGTGCCCCACAACTGCTAAGATTGAAGTCTCTTCGCGCGTTCTCGCCGGAGGGGACGCAGACGGCGCCACGACGGAATGCTATTAGCCCGAAAATCGTGAAATATTCCCCAAAAGGTGTGTTTTGTATTGTTCCCTGGGCTCATTGTTGATCGAGGTTGAGTTCAACAACTAGTCGTCGGTCCTTCGTCAGTACCAATGGATCAGTAGTATGAACGCTGGCTCTCTTGACCTATCTACAATAGAATGCCAGTGATGGCAAGGACACTGCCTAAGACCAGCCAGAGACAGCCCGAAACCGGCCCAAGAGGCGCCCACAAGGGCCGAAGATGGCCCCGAGACGAGCCCAGAAGGGGGCCAAGAAGGGCCCGAGGTGGCCCAGGCGAACCCGTGGACGGCCCATTGGCTCTATCAGGGGCCTCTCAGGATTATGTTGGGGATCGTGGGGTGTGGGGGAGGGCTACCAGGGTCCCTGCGATTTCTCCCTCTGGGGCCTCCCTGGGGTCGCTGCTGAAACCTGATTTGCCGTCATTGGGGCCTTTTGTGCCACTCTTGCGCTGTCTTGCGGTCCTTTTGAACCGTCTCACGGCCCCGAGGAGGGCCGCAGTAGTATCATCAGCAGCAGCGGAAGTAGTAGTGTTAGTAGTGTTAGTAGTGTTAGTAGTGTTAGTAGTGTTACTAGTAGTAGTAGTAGTAGTAGTAGTAGTAGTAGTAGTAGTAGTAGTTGTAGTCGTAGTCGTAGTCGTAGTCGTAGTCGTAGTCGTAGTCGTAGTCGTAGTCGTAGTCGTAGTCGTAGTCGTAGTCGTAGTCGTAGTAGTCGTAGTCGTAGTCGTAGTCGTAGTCGTAGTCGTAGTCGTAGTCGTAGTCGTAGTCGTAGTCGTAGTCGTAGTCGTAGTCGTAGTCGTAGTCGTAGTCGTAGTCGTAGTCGTAGTCGTAGTCGTAGTCGTAGTCGTAGTCGTAGTCGTAGTAGTAGTAGTAGTAGTAGTAGTAGTAGTAGTAGTATTGGTAGTAGCAGTAGTAGTAGTAGTAGTCGTCGTAGTAGCAGTAGTAGTAGTAGTGGTGGTGATATTGGTGGTGGTGTAGTACTAGTACTAGGACTCGTAGTAGTAGTAGTAGTAGTAGTAGTAGTAGTAGTAGTAGTAGTAGTAGTAGTAGTAGTAGTCTAGTCGTAGCAGAAGTAGTTGCAGTAGTAGTTGTAGTGGTAGTGGTAGTAATCGTAGACGCAGTGGTAGTAGTAGTAGTAGTAGTAGTAGTAGTAGTAGTAGTAGTAGTAGTAGAAGTCGTAGTATCAGTATCAGTAGTAGTAGTAGTAGTAGTAGTAGTAGTAGTAGTAGTAGTGGCAGTAGTAGTCGTTGTCGTAGTCGTAGTCGTAGTCGCAGTAGTAGTAGTAGTAGGAGTAGTAGTAGTAGTACTCCTAGTAGTAGTACTCCTAGTAGTAGTAGTAGTAGTAGTAGTAGTAGTAGTAGTAGTAGTAAAAGTAGTAGTAAAAGTACACGCAGTAGTAGAAGAAGAAGAAGTGGTGATCGTAGGAGTAGTAGTAGTAGTAGTAGTTGTTGTTGTTGTAGTCTGGTGGTAGTGGTAGTAGTCGTAATCGTAGTTGTAGTAGTAGTAGTAGTAGTAGTGGCAGTAGTAGCATTCGTCGTAGTAGCTGTAGTTGTCGAAGTAGTAGATGCCGTAGTAGTCGCAGTAATAATAGTAGTAATCGTGGTAGCAATAGTAGCCGAAGCACTCGTAGTAGTCGGCGGAGTAGTCGGAGGAGTAGTAGAAGTAGTTGTAGAAGTCGTGATAGTAGTAGTAGTAGTAGTAGTAGTAGTAGTTGTCGTAGCCCTACTGACAGAAGTCGTCGTGGTAGCCGTAGCCGAAGTAGGTGTAGGAGTAGCTGTAGCACTAACAGTAGTAGTAGTAGTAGTATGAGTACTCGCTGTAATCGCAGTAGGAGTAGACGTAGAAGTAGTACTAGCCTTTGTAGTAGCCGTAGTCGCAGTCGTAGTCGTATTCCTAGTTTTATCCCCAGCCGTAGTAGTAGCAGTGGTAGTAGTAGTAGTCGTAGTAGGAGTAGTAGTAGTTGTAGTCGTCGCTGTTGTATCCGTAGTAGCAGTAGTAGTAGCCGTCGTCGTAGTAGTAGTCGTGATCGTACTGGTAGTAGTAGAAGTAGCAGAAGCAGCAGGAGTATTAGTTGTAGCAGCAGAAGTAGCAGTAGTAGCCATAGTCGTAGTAGTAGTAGTAAAAGTAGTAGAAGTAGTAGTAGTAGTAGTAGTAGTAGTCCTGGTAGACGTAATCGTAGTCTTTTTCGTAGTCGTAGTCGTAATCGTGGACGTAGTAGTCGCCGTACTACGAGTGATAGTAGTAGTAGTAGTAGTAGTAGTAGTCGTAGTAGTAGTAGTAGTAGTAGTAGTAGAAGTAGTGGTAGCCGTAAACGTAGTAGTCGTAACAGTCATGGTAGCAGTAGTGGTAGTAGTCGTAGTCGTAGTTGTCGTAGTTGTTGTAGTAGTAGTCGTATTGGTAGTAGTAGTAGTAGTAATAGTCGTAGTCGTCGTACCACCAGTAGTAGTAGGAGTAGTCGTGAACGTAGTAGTCGTAATAGATCGTATTAGGTGTACTAGTTGTTGTAGTAGTAGTCCTATCGGTAGTATTTGTAGAAGTAGTCGTAACAGCAGCATTCGTAGTCGTTGCCGTAGTAGTAGTAGCAGTAGTAGTAGCAGTACGATTTACTGGAGAAGTAGCAGGGGTAGTAGGAATTGCTGTGCTACGACTACTAGGTCCAGTCGTAGAAGAAGTCGTAGCAGTGGTAGTAGTAGTAGTAGTAGTCTTAGTAGTAGTAGTAGTAGTAGTAGTAGTAATCGTAGTAATCGTAGTACTAGTAGCCGTCGTACCGGTAGTACTAGTAGTAGTGGTAGTCTTCGTCGTCGTCGCCGTCGTAGTGGTAGCAGTGGTAAACGTAGTAGTAGTAGTAGTAGTAGTAGAAGTAGTAGTAGTAGTAGCAGTAGCAGTAGTAGTAGCAGTAGTAGTAGTCGTAGTAGTCGTAGTAGTCGTAGTAGTCGTAGTAGTAGAAGTAGTAGTAGTAGTAGTAGTAGTAGTAGTAGTACTAGTAGTAGTACTAGTAGTACTAGTAGCAGTAGCAGTGTCAGTAATAGCAGTATTCGTCGTCGTCGCCGTAGTAGTAGTAAAAGTAGTAGTCGCAGTACTACTACTATCAGTTGTCTTAGTAGTAGTAGTAGTAGCAGTAACCGTAGTAGTAGTAGTAGTAGTAGTAGTAGTAGCAGCAGCGGCAGTAGTAGTAGTGGTAGTAGTAGCAGTAGTAGTAGTAGTAGTAGTAGTAGTACTGGTAGTCATAATAGTCGTTGTAGTCGTGGTAGTCGTAGTAGTCGTAGTAGCTGGGATTCGCAGCATTGGACGTTCACAATATTTGCACGCTATATGCCAGTGCAGTCGGGCGAAATTCTTTGTTTGATCCAGCTCAATCGGGGTTACCATTTGCTCGACCTGCTCTCGCAGCTCTTACCTCATAACGCCCGCGGCAATATTCAATTGGTTGCCTCCCAGTCCAAAGGGCGACTACCCCCTCCAAGGGTGCGGTTCGATTCTATCGGCTCGACTGTGCAGGCGGTTCGAAATATCTGCAGCAAGAGCCTCTCTCACGGTGCCTCTCTCTCGCCTCGGGTCCTTTCCGCGCCCGTTGTAGTTTTGATGTGCTGGTGCTGTGCTCTTCAGGGTCATGGACATCCATCGGTACTGCAGCTTGTTTGCAAAAGGTTGGTGTATGTTTCGTCTCCGTCGCGTTGGTCGACGATCGAGGACCCAATTTTCGGGCTGCTTCGGGAACTGTCCGTGGCGCTTTAGGTCGGCCAGGTAGGCTCAGGGGGCTCTTATGGGGCAGCACTATGTTTGCAGGGGGGGCGTCTCCCGTTACCAAGCAGGCTTCCCATGTGTTCGGGCTTTGGCGGTGGAAGCAGCGAGGAGAGGGTCCACGCGAACCGTCGTGCGCAGTCCGTACGGGATGCGAGGATGTGAAGCAGAAGCACTGGATATTCGCCGACCACCTGAATTCCTCGGTCACTGCGCTGCCTTTGTGTGTTCTCATCATGGATTTGCTCTGATTCCTGCACCCCCGCTATGTAATTTACCACTTCGGTGCAACTCGTCTCGCGTCTGCTTTGATCACTCCTGTTGCTGCGTCCTCTGCGCAACATATTCCTCGCCACAAAAGTGTCGCACGTGTCCCCAGGTGATGGAGATCCAGTCGCAGATCGCGGCGGTCAAGATGCAGGCGGATTCGCGATCGAACAAAAGAGGATGCTTGGGCGAACACAGAAAGGATGCCCAGGAGTGTCGTATTTCTTCAGGTTGAAGGTAGCCCAGTCGAGGTTTCAATGAGTTGCTGAATTTTTTTGCCTCCGAGCGCCCCGGCGCAGGAGGAGCCTGGGGGAAGGAGGTGGGGACCCCGATGTGGAGGGTGTTTCTTTATTGCTCGGGGCATACTGGGCAGTATAGCCCCCGGCGCCCCCCCCCGTATAACATCACGCCCCGGGCACTGCCGCCGTGCGCATCGGGATCCGCGTAGGCGTCCGCATAGAAATCCGCATAGTCGTCTGGTCCGCAGTAGTCGTCTGTGTCGTCGTCGCCGTAGTCGTCGTCGTCGCTCGTCGCTCGTCGCTCGTCGCTCATCGCCGTCAGGCGCGCGGACACGGCTGGAGCCTGTTTTTTCCCCGCCCGATGACGGCTAGCATCTTGGGCAGGGGGTGGGGGCCGACAACGTCACGTTTCCAAGGAATGACCGAGGACGGAAAATGCCTAGGAATGACCTGGGCCACCTAGGAGCAGCGTGTAGGTGGCGATATGCACCACCGCGCCTGTGTACGCCACAGTGCCTGCGTGCACCACAGCGCCTGCGTACACCACACCGCTTGTGTACATCACAGCAGCCGCGTGCAACACAGCGCCAATGTGTCTGTGTGTGTGTGTGTGTCGCAGTGCTTGCGAGCATCACAGCGCTTGTGTACACCACAGCGCCTGCGTACACCACATCAGCTGTGTGCAACACAACACCAGTGTACTTTACAATGCAGGCGTGCACTACAGCGCCTGTGTACACCACGGCGCCTGCGTGTTCCGCAGCAGCCGTGTGCAACATAACACCACTGTTGCATATATGTATATATACATATGTGTATATATATATGTATTAGAAGGATTTGTTATGACAAATTGTGTACCAGTGGATCCACCGAGAAGCACTGCTTTTGTACAGGATTTGGAAAGGCACCCTTATGGAAGGAACGCCGCTAAAATCTACAAGTCCTCCCGAGTCCTTCCGCATCATCCTAACTTCTCCCATCTGCGTTCAGGACGCTCCAGCAGAATTGGCCATCCGAGAACCAAGTGGATTGATTCAATTGATCCACGCGGTTTGCTCCACATCGATTGTTGCACCTAGATTGCACAACGTCCCCCTTTCGGGTATGTGAATCATATATGATTATGACCACATGTTCATCTTGAATATGAATTTACACTATCCCCGGGGGGCCTGGCTCCCCCCCCCTAAGATTCCCTTTGCAAAAACAAAAAATGCGGCGACAGGTTTTTTAATTAGAAAAATATCGAAACACAACAAAAACATAACCTTTGTTTCACCAATCCTGTGCAACACATGTGACGAAGTGCACACGCGCGCGTCGTCGCGCGCGCATGCCGAAATCCTTCAAAAACCTTCGGTGCCGGAAGGATTTCGCAATCGAGTTTCCAAAACACCTGCAAAAACACATGGTTTCGTAACACCGATGCGAAATCTTACGAAAACACTCGATGCGATGGTTGCGTAACACACATGGTTTCGTAACACAAAAAAACTTACGCGCGAGCTCTTGCGAAATCTTAAGAACACCATACTGGTTTTTCAAGATTTTCACAACATGCTGCCAAACGGGCGTCGCGCGGGCATGGCGAAATCTGTCGAACGCCCTTGCGCGTGTGCCGTCGCGAAAATCCTCTGCAAAGGATAAGACGAAGTGCAGACGCGCGCGTCGTCGCGCGCGTACGCCGAAATCCTTCAAAACCCATCGGTTTCGGAAGGATTTCAAGATCGCTCGTCCAAAAAACTTACACAAACATCAGGTTTCGCAACACGGGTTTTCAACAACAGCGTGCGCGCGCGCTCTTGCGGCGTCGTCGTCGTCGTCGTCGCCGTCCTCCCTCCTCCCGCGTCGTCGTCGTCGTCGTCGCCTACGTCGTCCTGTGTCTTTTCTCGTGTTCGTCGCCGTCGTCCTCTTTGGCGTCGTGGTCGTTTCCGTCGTCGTTGTCGCCGTGGTCGTCCTTCCTCCTCCTCCCTCGTCGTCGTCGTCGTCCGTCGTCCGTCGTCGGCGTCTCGTCGTCGTCCCTCCTATTTCGTCGCCGTCGTCGTGGTCGTTGTCGTCGTCGTTTCGTCGTCGTCTTCCTTCCTCCCTCGTCGTTGTTGTCGTCGGCGTCGCCGTCCTTCCTCCTTTTTCGTCGTTCGCGTCGTCGCCGTCCTCCCTCGAGAGGGGAACGCTGTGAGGACTTCAGCCTTTTTTGATGGAGGTGGAGGAAGATGAGGATGATGATGGTGATGAGGAGGAGGCGGAGGAGGAGAAGGTAAAGGGAAGTGGGCGAAGCAGGGAGTGAGCACTTGGAAAGCAGAGAGAGAGAGAGAGAGAGAGAGAGAGAGAGAGAGAGAGAGAGAACAAAAAAAAAGAGGTGAAAGTGGTCGTTGTTTCTCCCCTCGGAAGTCTGGAGCGCGTTTCAGGACTCCCCCATGTAACCAAAACCCCGATATATAAAACTGTTACAATGCCCGGCTAAGGCGTGCCTAAACCCAGTAACACAAGTTACTCATTGGCGCGCGGGTTTCTTCATGACGGCCTTCTTGGTCTTGCGGCACTTGCTGAGAAAAGAGAGGATATGTGATTTATGATGATGTGGCGATGACGAAGATGAAGATGCACGCCGTGACGACGACGTTTTTTACTTTGCACCGTCTTCCTGCAACTCTGCCGCGACAGCATCAACAAGTACGGCCACAACGCACTTCCTCATATCTTTGATTCTCTGTGCATGCACATCATGTAAGTGATCGGGCAATTTCGTTTTCTCTGGTTTCCGTAACTGTGGCAAGTAGAGACTGCGATCTAGTTCGCACCAACGATATTCCTCATCATCGTACCCCATTACCAAATTGGCGATCACCGTTCCCTTCTTCGTGCCTGGAGCGAGCCCAGACTTCTGGGCGCAGTCGCAAGCATCAGTTGCACAACGCAGCGCATCGCGCTGGAAGGCATCGGCAGTGAAATTCTGCGCCAGCACACTGCAGAGCGTGCCGACATATCGCTGCTCCTGAGACGTGCCCTTCTTGCACCGTTTTGCCTGCGGCTTCGCATCATCTCCATATTCCACGCGCTCTCCCTCAACGGCATCTGCGACGTCCGTCTTATACATCGTGCACGGGGGGAGCCGCAATCCCAGAGGAAGCATGCCTGGCCCTGTTACCTGGCGCCGAGTAAAATCTCCCTCGCGCCGATACCCGCAGTATGCATCGAACCACGCAAGATCCAACTCAACCTGATACGCCTGGAACTGTAGACAACGAAACGGCATGTTGGCATACGCTTGCATGATGGACGCCGCTCGGCCAAGCCAACCCGACAAGTTCCCATAAATATACGCAACGACGGCAACAGCGTTGTCAGCTCCTTTGGCGGGGTCTTCAACGGGAGGCGTCTGGTGCCCCGTCCGAGGATGTGAGCCAATGATCACTGCGCACAAATGCAGAGCTTTCGCCACCCACTTCTGGTCAGAATCCTTTAATAAGCGTTGCAAGATATCAACAATTTGTCGCTCTGTGGCAAAGCCGTGGGTAGATATGCATTGCATAGTCGTCGGTTCCGCTTCCTCGTCCGTCATGGACGCATCGGCAGCAACCAGCACAGCGAAAAGCATTAGAACGTGCATGCCCTCATGGAGATATTTCCGCATCGAAACAGATAGAATGATAGCCTCTTTCCATGCAGCTGTCTTCGCGCGGCACACAGTTGTTTGAAATATCAGATCTGGCGGGTTCAAGCAAGCCGGCGAACGATTAAACTTTAGCTTACCGAGTGTCTGGTCGCCAGTAAGCGATGTCTTTGACAACGTCGTTCCACATAGCTTTCGTGCGTCTTGCGGGAGGTTAAGCCAGAACGCTGCCCCCCACGTCTGTGCTTCTCTCAAACCATGTTTTTTTCAAGAAGGCACGGCCTTCTGTTGTCAACGTGTCATCAGCGCCGCAGCACCCCATAGACAATACATTCTTAAAGGCTCGATACAAATATATAATGGCAAACAATGGTCTGTTCAATGCTCCCCATCTTTTGACGCAGCGTTCGTATGCTCGCTTTACGGCAGTCGTCGCACACCAGCGCTGTATGCAAATGCGCCTCCGCTCGGGCCACAATAACTACGGAGTTCGCAGGTCGTGTTCTGTCGCAGAGATTCCACTCAGAGGTGTCTCGCTGTTTCAAACAAAGCAGTGAACAAATCAAAGCAAATGTTTCGGTTTGATGTTCCTGATTTTTTCTTGAAAAAAACAATTGTTTCTTTGATTTCTTACTGATTTTTGATTTTTCTGGTTGTTCCGTTTTTTTTTGTTTCCTGAATTTCGGTTTCGGAAGGAAAGGATTCTAAGAGAAAGAAGGGCGGAGGAAAATCATCAAACATAGATGAGAAAACAACAAAAAAACGTAAACAAATAAAGAAGAAAGTTCTCCCAGAGAAAAATCCGTAAAAAACAAATCAAAACCAAGGTTTCGTTTTTTTTTTTTGTAAAAAAAAAAAAATTTTTTGGGGGGGGGGGGTCCCCCCCGTTTTTTGTTTCTGATGTTCGGCTCGGGGCTCGACTTCCCCACGAAAGTACGAATTCAATTCATAATCGCACGAAAGCCTATCCTTTTCTCGCTTTGCTATGCCATGCTTTGCTGTGCTGTGCCATGCTATGCCATGCTATGCCACGTCTACCACCTTATTCCCCCCTCAAGTCCTCACAGCGTTCCTTCCTGCCTCCCTCCTCCCTCGTTGTCGTCGTTGTCGTCGTTGTCGTCGTTGTCGCCGTGGTCCTTCTCCTCCTCCCTCGTCGTCGTCTTCGTCGGCGACGTCGTCGTCATCTTCGTCGTCGTCGTCGGCGTCGGCGTCGTCGTCTTCGTCGTCGTCGTCGGCGTCGGCGTCGTCGTCGTCGCCGCCGTCGTCGTCGTCGTCGTCGTCGTCGTCGGCCGTCTTGCTTCCCCGGCCTTTTTGGGGCGCTCTTGAGACGCCCCCGAGGGCTCCAAGACGAGCCCGGAGCGATATTTGTGCTCGGTCCCGCATGGGTTTTGCAAACCAAGTTGCGGGTGGGTGGGTGGGATGGTTTGCGCGAGCAGTGGAGATGACAACGTCAAGTTCGGCAGGTGATTGATTGCACCACTTAGATTGCACCACGTGGATGGCACAACATACACTGGACGGCATATCAGGGGTAGGGGTCTGAAGAGGGTTTCCGCGTAGCGGCCTGTTGTTGATGATGTTGTTTCTTGGTTGTTGTTTGTTGTCGTTGCCCCGCCCGCGACCCGCCCGCGACCCACCCGCGACGGCGACCCGCCCGCGACCTACCCGCGACCCACCCGCGACCCGCCCGCGACCCGCCCGCGACCCGCCCGCGACCCACCGCTCGACCCGCCCGCGACCAACTATCGACACACCCGCGCACCGGCCGACCCACCTGGGACCCGCGCGCGACCCACCCGCGAGCCACCAGCGACCCACCAGCGACCCACCCGCAACCCACCCGCGACCTGCCACCCGGCGACTCCTCCGCGACTCGCCCGCGACCCGCCCGCGACCCACCCCGCGCCTGCTCCCTCGCTTTTATCCGCGACTGCGGTGTGCTACATATTGCGCAGCATAATCGCACAACACACATTGAATCACATAGATTGCATCACGCATACATTTCTTCACATTAATCGCACAACGGAGACTGCCCCACAAAGGTTGCACAGCATAGATTACACAACGTAGAGCGCTTCATATATGTATATATATATATATATATAGTGCGTAGCCTATGTTGCACCACATAGTGTGCAGCCCATAAGTTGCTCCACGCGCAGTGCGTCACGTGGATTGCACCACACATTTTGACCACATACGTGGCGCCCCGCAGTTGCGGATAAGAGTGAGGGGGCGGCGAGGACGTCGTCAGTCCGCGAGGCTCTGAAGAAGGAAACGCGCCATCGGATGACCCTGAATACACAAAAGGGGGGATGTGCTCGCAAAACCCCCCCCCCCTCCCCCCTTCAAAGGGGGGGTGAGATTCTCAAACCCCCGACCCCCCTTCTTTCTTTAAGGGGGGGGGGTCCGAACCCCCCCCTCCCCTTGAAGGGGGGGGTGGGCTCCCCCCCCCTCCCCCCCTTGGCGCTGGAAACGGGGGGGGGGTCGAACCCCCACCCCCCCCTTCCCCCCCTTTGCGCCGAACGGGGGCCGGGGAGACGGCCTGTCCCGCAAAGGGGGGGGTAGGTTTGGCCTCGGGATAGTGAGTAGTGAGTAGCGAGTGTAAGTAGTGAGTAGATAGTAGCATGGATTGAGGAGTGAGGAGTGAGGAGTTAGTTGTGAGTAGTGCGCAGTGAGTAGTGAATAGTGAGTCGTGAATAGTGGGTGGTGGGGAGTGGGTAGTGAGTAGTGAATAGCGAGTTGGGAGTGGCGTGTGGTGAATAGTGGGTCGCGAATAAGGAATTGTGAGTAGTGAGTACTGAGGAGGGAGTAGTCAGTAGCGAGTAGCGACCAGGGAGTAGCGAGTAGTGATTAGTGAGTAGTGTGTAGTGACGTACTGCAAAGTGAGTAGTGAGTAGCGACTTGTGACCCGTGACTAGCGAGTAGGAAGTAGGGAGTAGTGAGTAGTGAGTAGTGGTAGTGGGTGGTGAATATTGCGTATTGGGTAGCGAGTATTGAGTCGGGAGTAGCGAGTAGTGAGCAGTGAGTAGTGAGCAATGAGTATTGTGTAGGGAGTAGGGAGCAGTGGGTTGTGAAGAAGTGTGTATTAGTGCGTACTGAAAAGTGAGCAGCGAGTAGCGAGCAGCGGATAGTGAGTAGTGAGTTGTGGGCGATGAGTTGTGAGTAGTGAACTGTGAATATCCAGTCGTGAGTAGTGGATAGTGGTGAATGGGTAGTGAGTAGTGCTTAGTGAGTAGTGAGTAGTGGGCAGCGAGTAGTGTTTAGTGAGTAGTGATTATCTAGCAGTGGGTAGCGAGTAGGGAGTGGGGAGTTGGGAGTAGCGCGTAGGGAGTAGTGAGTTGTGAGTAGTGGGGGCGTAGTGAATAGTGAGTAAAGGGTAGTGAATGGTGCGTACTGAGTAGCGCGTAGGGTGCAGGAAGTAGCGAATAGTGAGTAGTGAGTATTGAGTACTGTGCAGGGAGTAGGGAGTAGCGAGGAACGAATAGTGAATAGTGAGTAGTAAGTTGTGGGCAGTGGTACGTGATAAGTGAAGTGTGGGTAGTGATCAGTGAGTAGTAGGTAGTGGTTAGTTGGTAGTGAGTAGTGATGTGTGATTAGTGAGTAGTGGCTAGTGAGTTGTGCTCAGTGAGTAGTGAGTATTTGATTAGTGGGTAGTGCGTAATGAACAGTTAGTAGTGAATAGTGGGTACTGAGTAGTGAGTCGTGCGTAGTGAGAAGTGAGTAGTGAGTAACGAGTAGTGAGTAGTGGGTAGTGAGTAGTGCGTAATGAGTAGTGAGTACTATTTGGGGCTCGGGTTACGGTTTGGGGTTAGGGTTAAGGGTTAGGGTAAGGGTGAGGATTAGTGTTAGGGGTGGCAGGGGTCGGGTTCCGGAGCTCGGGGGCGCCGTGGCGAAAGGGGGGAGGGGTGGGGGGCTCGAATTTGGCGGCCAAAGGGGGGGAGGGAGGGAGAGGGTCCAGATCCCCTCCCTCCTTTAGAAAGGGGGGGAGGGGCGGCGGGGTACCCGACGACGGATCGGTAAAGGGGGGGAGGGGGGGTTTCCCGACGACGGATCGGGAAAGGAAGGGGGGGGTCCCGACGACGGATCGGGGAAAGGGGGGGGGGTCCCCCCTCCCCTTGGGAACATCCAGCGGCGCGCCCTCCTGAAGAAGCCTGCCTCAGGTGCCGAACTTTTACAAATTACGCAGTGAGCCCACCGCAGGCGCCCATATTTTCGTTAAACCAATGCGGGTGGATCGCGGGGTGGGTCGCGGGTGGGTCACGGGTGGGTCGCAGGTGGGTCGCGGGCGGGGTCGCGGATGTGTCGCGGGTGGGTTGTTTATGGATGGTGGGTGGGTCGCGGGTGTGTCGCGGGGTGGGTCGCGGGGTGGGTCCCGGGTGGGTCGCGGGGTGGGTCGCAAGTGAGTCGCGGGCTGGGTCGCGGGGTGGGTTGCGGGCTGGGTCGCGGGTTGGGTCGCGGGGTGGGTCGCTGGGTGGGTCGCGGGGTGGGTCGCGGGGTGGGTCGCGGGTGGGGTCGCGGGTGGGTTGCGGGGTGGGTCGCGGGGTGGGTCGCGGGGTTGGTTGCGGGGTGGGTCGCGGGGGGGACGACGACACCAACAACAACAAGCATAATCCCCACCACGGATCCCCTTTTCAGCCACGCACCCAGGGACAATGAATGACCGTTCGGCCCCCTCATTCTGATATCGCAGAACATAGGTTGCAACACGCATATTCAACACCATAGACTGCAAAACATATGTTGGTAGGCACGCGCTGTTTAGGATGGAGTCTGACTAACATGTGTTTACCTTACACATGTTATCCTGAACATAACCATCTGGGACATGTGCATTGTAGCAAGGCGAGGGTATTATGGCAGCGTCAGCGGCAGGCACAACATCATGGAGTAGCTCGTACAGGCAAGTTTGGATCCGGGCAGAGACAGCCACAATCATAAGTTTATTCAACGGACGCGATCGCAGTATTCAAATTGTTTGCCAGGGCCAGTGCCGCGTGCATAGGGTGATTCGGCAAGGCAGTAACAAACGAAAAACAACAACCCCGCATCCTTTTGGGTATATTTAACGCACGTGCGCCAAAGTAGCAGAGATCGAGGCTGTGTTAAGTTAACAGACGCCCACTTGCGACGCGATCTGGAAGCCAATGGCAGTGAGGAGGAGCGGAGCAAGTTTTATGCAGGAGAGTTGGCACACGAACCCACCCACACCTGTAACGAGGGCAATTCGGTTCCGCTGTCAAGTATGTTCACATGTGAGCGAGGGCATCTCAGGAAATGGACTGACAAATGCCTTGACGCACGCGCGCAAGTGCGCCGCACGAGCCACGTTCCCCTCAATGATCTCCACAGCACCACCAACAGCAGCGGAAGGAGGAGGAACGAGGATCGGTGGCGGAAGGGGCGAGGAACAGTGGGAGGAGGACCAGCAGCAGCAGCAGCAGCAGCCGGAGGAAGGAGCGAGGAGGAGGCACACGGAGTGGGAGGGGTCGGCGGCGAGGTTGGGAAGAAAGTGAGCAGGAGAAGGCTTGCTCAGTAGGCGGCGGGGCTTCTCAGAAGGCCTCAGAGGCTGTCCTGCGCCGTCGGGGAAGGTTTTGAGGAAACTGCCCTCAAAGGTCGGGGGGCTTCCGATCCTTCCGAGAAGGCCTTCTCCCTCCCAATTCCTCCCTGGACTCGCCGCCGAAGGGGGGAGGGCGCAGGGGAGGGACGGGGGTCAGGCGCAGGACGATGGGGGGAGGCCTGTCGCGCGGCTCTGACCCCCTGGAGCACCTTCGAGGCCCTTGTGGGCCTCGGCAGGAGGACCGCCGCCGAGAGCTGCGAGGGGCCTCCTCTGCCACCCCCCCCCTCTTCAGAATCGGAGGGAGGAGAAGCGATACCAACACCACCAGAGGGGGCCCACCAGCGAGGAGGTCTATTAATGCCCCCCCGAGCGGGGGACTGGGGATGCCTCGAGCGAGACGGGGGGACCACGCCACCAGGGAGACCCCCCCTATGCCCCGGCGCCTCTCCTCGCCCTGTTGGTGCTGGTGTCTCCTTTCCTTGTTCCTTCAGAAGCTCCTCCTCCTCCTCCCTCCTCCTCCTCCTCCTCCTCTCCTCCTCCTCTCCCTCCTCTCCTCCTCCTCCTCCCTCCTCCTCCTCTCTCCTCCTCCTCCTCCTCCTCCTCCCTCCTCCTCCTCCTCCTCCTCCCTCCTCCCTCCCTCCTCCCTCCTCTCCTCCTCCTCCCCTCCCTCCTCCCTCCTCCTCCTCCCTCCTCCCCTCCCCTCCCTCCTCCCTCCTCCCTCCTCCCCTGCAGGCGGCGCAGCGCAAGCGCGAGCGCCTCCGGCTCGAGGCCCGCATCGGCGAGCTCACGGCGCTGCTCGCGGCCGCGCGCCCAGGGGGGCCGCGCGGCGGGGCACGAGGTTCTTTACCAGCCTCGAACGTATCCCTATCCCTAAGATTGACACGCCAAAAGGCGATGACAATCTTAGGGATTCGCCCTCAGAAAATAAGGGAATACCTGAGATTGGCATCGTGATGAGGAGGTGCCCAGCATAGGGATAGGGATATGTTCCAGGCTGGTAGGTTCTCTCCTGCCTAGGGATGCGCTCTGGCCCTTGATTATCGCTCGGACGTGTGCATGTTTTCTCGGCGGGGATTGTGAAGGAGCATCCTGGATCATCCTGCGAATGAACCACGCACGAAACCGAAGAAAAACACACCTGGTCGCCTCATGTGGCTTCGCACCGCAGTTCAAGACAAGTCCAAGACGGCAAGCATCACAGCCCTAGCGCAATGCCAAATTGCCCAGGACTGCTCCCACACTGTCCTTGGGCTGTCCAGCCTTGGGCGGCCATAACAAAAAAGGTTTGCATGCTAGCCGGCGTGGGCCTGACGTAATGATTTGTGCAACATACGCGGCGCTTTCTAGGTATCCATGATTTTTGCAACATATGCGGTTCTTTCCAGGTATACAGATGGTGCAATCAACGTGGTGCAATCTGAGTGGCGCAAAACAATGCAAAGCAAGTCAACGCAATGCTAAGCAATGCCAAGCAATGCACAGTATTGCCAAACAATGCGAAGCAATGCAAGGCAAAGGAACGCAAAGCGATGCAACGCAAAGCAATGCGACGCCAGGTGCTGGGATTCCAAGCCGTGCGTCGCAAGGCAAGGCAGCGCAAAACAATGCGGCACAGTGCAACTCCATGCAAGGCAAGTCCACGACGGGCAATGCAAAAAGCAATGCCGATCCATGCAACGCGGTGCGCACCGACGCCGTGACGGGCGGTGACGAGCCGGCCGCACCGCCACGGGCGGGCCCGGTTTCCAAGGGAGACGGGCGGCGGCGTCTGGCGGCCACGGCCGGCAACGAGCCAGCCAGACCGCCATTCATCAGGAGGGAAGGAAACACACAGACACAATTAATCGTCGACTCCCCAGAAAATATGGGAAAATATGGGAATTGGGGGGAAGGCAAAAACACAGAACATATGGGAAAATATGGTGATGTGTGTTATTTGTGTGTATTTATTTGTGTGTCCTGGGGCCCCTTCAACTCAGGCGCAGTTGCCTTAGAAACCAAGCAAGAACTTCTCAGTGCTCGCATTGTTTGGGGCATCACAGTCAAGACGCTGGCATCAGGAACAGTTTGGGTCCGGAAGGGGATCGATATTCCTTCAGGTTCCTCCAGTGCTGCTCCTCCTGCCCTCCTGGGGCACGGAGGCGCTTGCAGGGCCAAGAAGGGGCTTCGTTCCTTGTTTAGCGTTCTTTCTCTCAGCGGCCCGACTGTATTGTTGTGCCTCCAGTGGCCCCAGGGCCTGCCGGGACCTGCCTGGAGTCTCTTTTGGACGCCCGAAATGGGTACGGAAAGAATGCGTACAGTGCCCAACAGCAGTTCGTGTTCATTCTGAGCAGGACTCGCTGTCGGTGTCGCCGCGGCCTGTGTCCGTTTGAGACAGAAGGCCGCCTGCCCAACAGCGGCCGCTGCTGGTTTGGGGCAACACTTGTTGTTGAGCATTGTACCCATTCTTTCCGTGCCCATTTCGGGCGTCCAAACGAGTCGTCGCCGCTCGCCGCCACCAGCGGCGGCCTTCGGACCATCGAGAAATCAAAAGAGCCCCCAAAGCTAATAGCACAGTAAAGACATGGCCTACAGTCGGGGCCCTGAAGAAGGAAGCCTTTTCGTTGGGGAGGGGCTCGGTGTTCCTTGATTGTTCTGCAGTTTGCCTTTTGTTTTCCTGAGGTTTTCCATGGCAAATCGAAGGTCAACTTATGGGAGAAAGGGGCCCCGTTCCTTATTTAGGGTTCCTTAGGTCAACGCCCCGACTGTAACTGAGGTCCTCGTCTTTGGCGATTTCGGGCGTCCGAGTCTCTGCCGCAGCGGCACGGCGACGAGGCGGCGGCGCTCCTCCGGGTCAAGCCCGGGGCCCCGCGTGCCTGCCCGGAGTGCTTGCGCGGTGGCCAGCGTGCGGCCCTTGAAGCCCTGGAGGGGAAAAAAACACACAGACACGATGAATCGTCGATGCCCAGGACAATATGGGAAAATATGGGAGGTGGGGGGGAAGACAGACGCCCTGAAAGTGCGGGAAAATAGGGGCAATCCTGTTAGTTGTGTGTATAATGTATCTGTGTGTCCCAGGACGATCTGGGAAAATATGGGAAAAGGGGGGGGGAAGACAGACAGCCTGAAAATGCGGGAAACTGTATGGGCAATCCTGTGATTCGTGTGTGTGTGTGTGCAATTTACTTGTGTGTGTGTGTGTGTGTCCCAGGGCCCCTTCACGAAGCTCGTGAGAAAGGACAGTCTTCGCGCCCTCCTGGGACGTCTTGGGCACCCCCCCCCCTCTGCGCTGTGTTGGAGCGCTGACCTTCGCGGCCCTCTCCTCGGCTCGTCCTGGGGCTCTCTCCTCGAGGGCCTATGGAGGCCTAGAAGGAGACGACCCCGACCCGGCGCGAGGGCCGGGCGGGCGGCCTGCGGGGGGCGCAGCAGACGTGTGGGGGGATATGTGGGAGTGCAGGGCATGGCTGGGCCCAAACGGTGTGTTTTGTTGATTCGGTGGGCCGTTTTCGTTTCGATTTCGTTATGCGGTAAAAGGTGGGTTCGAGACAGAAGCGAGGGAAAACGAAAACAGCAAGAAAACAAAAGACACCGTTTAGGTTCAGCCCTGGTGCAGGGGAGCGGCCCCCGAAGTGCTGCCGCGGGCCCGGAAGACGCACGAAGCGCGCACGCCTCCTCTCTCCTCCTCCTCCTCCTCCTCCCCCTCCTCCTCCTCCTCCTCCTCCTCCTCCTCCTCCTCCTCCCTCCTCCCTCCTCTCCCTCCTCCTCCTCCTCCTCCTCCTCCTCCTCCTCTCCTCCCCCTCCTCCTCCCCCTCCCCCCGCCCTGCCGCACACCCGAGCGGGGGGCCCCGACGCCCCGACGTCGGCGGGCCGAGGCCGCCCCCGACCGCCCAGCCGAGGCCGCGGCCGAGGGCAGCCGGGCGACGGACGCGGCCTGTGCCTCGCCCCAGCCCGGCGGGCGGCGGCCGGCGGCGGGCGACGGCGCACGGCGGAGACGACGGCGGCGACGACGACGACACCGACGGCGACGACGACGACGGCGACGACGACGACGCGGCCCGCCGTGCCCCGGCCGACGTCGGCGGCGCCAGCGTCGGCGACGCCGACGGCAGCGGCGGGCCGGGCGGGGTGTGAGAGAGCGCGGTTTCAAAACAAGTGAAGATCTTGGTCTCGCGGAGAAGTCAAGGGACCAGGGGAGTTGACGCGTTCTCGTCTGGTTTTCTCAGCGTGTGTATTCAGAGAGGGAAAAAGGAGCCAACGCCATTACGCACGAAATTTTGGGAGTGAGTTCGACGTGGAACGAAATCAGTCACCAGACGGGGCGTGCGGGCGGGTAAGGGGTTGACACATCGACGCCTGGGCTTCTCGGCGTGTGCTTGAAGAGGAGCAAATGGTACTACGCACGAGGTTTGAGGGAGTGATATCGACGTGAATCGAAGTCACTCACCAGAAGGGCGTGCGGGCAGGCGAGGCGGAGCAGCGCGAGTTCTTGCACACGAGAGGCCCATGTGACGCAAGAAAAGGTCGATACCCAGCCTTCCGGGTCGCGCGCGGGTTTGTCCTGCGGGTGTTTTTTCTTCCTCTTCATCCTCCTCCTCCTTTTCGTTCCTCCTCCTCCTCCTCGTCCCCCTTCTGTATCCATTTTGGCTCACGGGGCCTGCCCCTGAACTTCCCAACCGCTCTCGGCGCGCCTGGTGGACAGGCAGCAATGACCGTCAGCGACCGCGCCTGTTGGCCCTCGGCGGCCGCGTCTCTCTTGCCCCTGCCTTTTTTCACTTCCTGCCACGGGGGCATGGGGAATGTGATCCCATGGTTAGGGGGAGCTCATATTCCCATCAGTCCTGCGGAGAGTGATGGGGTGAGGGCCGCTCCGACTGCCCGCCATCACCAGGCACGATTGCGGCGGACACGAGCATGTTGGCCACCCTGAAAGACAAACTCCGACCACTTTCGTGCAGTGTGGACTCTCTCCTACCCAGCTGTTGGATCGCGGAGTGACTCGCTGATAGCAACCGTCCGATTCCCGGAATCCAGGGTCATATGCTGCAGGCTGAAAAAGAGATGTTGCAGAATGTTCATGCGGATCTTGCAAAGCAGATTATGGATAAGTTTACACATCTTCGTGCTATCCAGGAACATGCCTTCCTGCAGTTCATTCAGGATCGCGGGACAGTTGAGAAGGACATGGGGGAGGAGGTGACGGGTGACACTGAAACGATGCAGGTGGAGCTAGCGGCTGCGAGGGGAGCACAGTTCGGAGGTACCCGCGCCCCTAGAATTGCAACCCCAGACGATGGCGAGAACGTTTCGGACGACAGGTTCGGCCTATAATCGCATTTGGTGATGACGGCAAACCCTTCTCGCCTGGTTGTCGCGGGATTCCGTCGCCCTCTCTTGGGAGCCACTTTGCGCCAGGCTGTTTCTTCTGTCGCTAGCAAGTAAGTGCGCAATTTACATTGGTGCCCCAGTCCAGGTCAGGGCTTTCAACTGCAACAAGAAGCTGTTCATCGATTTCCCGAGCTCTCTGATAGGCTCCACGTGCCATGCGAATTGCATGTCTGAGATGCCAGTTACTTTTTTCCTGGGCCTGATGGTGAAATGGACCTAGGGCACCGCGTCCGCCGTGACCTCCCACAGTCACGTCGCAAGTTGTTTTGTTCTCTTCGAACTGCGAGGCAGGCAGCCGCGGATCATCGGGCATGGGCGCGCCGTTTCCACGGGGCACGGGGGGGCGACCTGCCCAGGGTACTATTCCAGCTCCCGTCGTGGAGGTTTCCATTTTGTCGATGGTGGCCCTCTGGCTGGCGGCGCGAGCACGGTGGTGGACAAGGCAGTTTCTGCCGAGATCGAGGGCGCGTGGCACATGCGCCTCGTTGCGCGCTCGATTTTCGGAGATTCGGCGAGTGCCACAGCTGCTCTGTAGAAAGAAGGGGCCCTGGCGGGCGTTGTGCTGAGGCTTCTGCGCCGGTGGGCTCAACTGGGCCCCCATCGCTCGAGAGCAGTGGCGCTGCGCCTCAGTTGACGCAGCGCCCCCCCGCCGGCCGGGATTCCTGGCGGAGTCAATCGCCCTCGTGCCCTCGTTCTCTGAACGTGGAACGCGCTCGCGTTTTCTGCGCCCATCTCCCCCCCCCCTCTTTCAGACAGAGCTCAAGATTCCCGCGGGCAGACTGGGTCGGCGGAGAGGTGTCAGATCACCCGGGCCGCGCTCGCCGACGAGATGCGCGCGTGCACGTTGCGCGGAAGCAGCTGCGGCAGCTGGGGTCGCTGTCGCATTTGTCCCTGGGTCTCTCGTTCGTTCGTTTCCGCGCGCGTTTCCCGCGGATATCGGCAGGGGCGCGCGTCGGCGCTCAGGGCCTGGAGGGTACCTCGCGAATGCGATCTATCATGCGCCGAACACATGTGATCATGTGCGTGGATAGGCCTGCTAGGAAGAGGGGTCTGGGTGCGCGACCCCCCCCCTGCACGCATTTTTTTTATTTTTATTTTTTGTTCCGTCTCGCGGCGGGTGTCCGATGTTTCCCCCGATGGAAGACTGGGTGCCTCTCGCGGGGGGTGAGTTCGGCTTGGGGGATAGGTTGCAGTGCGACGACCTTCGCGGCCGCTGTGGCTCACGGTGTGAAATCTCCCAACCTGGCCCACCGCGCAGGGGCGCAGTGGCGTCTCGCGGCTCGGCAGTGTCTGCGCCGCGCTCCCAGCGGGCACTGTCGTTGAGTGGGTGGTTGCGAATTGCGCTGGGGCTTCTTCGATCCGCATCCTGTCCTTGAGACGATCGCCTGTCCGAGTCCTGGAGGCCCCCCTTCGCGGCGCCGGGGCGGGTTGGCCAGCGCGCGGAGTTCAGGGGGACTGTAGCGGGGCAGCTACGGGGGCTGACCCTCCTTGATGACCCCCCCCCCGGAGCGCGTTCGCTGGGCGGGGCTCTTCTCGGGCCGGCGGCAGCTGCATTTCGGCAGTCTCCAAAGAATCGACGCGCAGCGATTGATGCTGACGCCTCCATTCTGCGACCCAGGCATACCGTGGGTGGAGCAAGGTGACAGCGGTGGTATCTGGACGCCTGTGCGCTCCGATGACATTGCGCTATCTCTCCCGTCTTAGATTTTCGCCGCGCCATCTGCGCGAGCCCCAACATCCAGCGCTCGCTCATCGCTGCTTCGACGAGCCGACGGTTTGAGACGGAATCTGAGGGGGTGGATCAGTGCCGCGAGTCTGAGGAGGTCCTGCTCAATGGGGAAGGGCGGCTGTTAGCTGCAAAGAGAGGGCGGGCCCTTGTGAGACGCGAGCTTCAACGAGCAGGGCCCGCCATGTCGGGGCCCGAGCGGCGCGGCCCGCGCGCCGGCCCTCCGCCGGGGAAAATCTGCGCCCGCGCCCTTCATGCTGAAGAGGGCTGACCCGCCATCCTGTCTCGTGCGCGGCCGATTGGCCAACTGCCTTGCGAGCCGCTGCGCTTTGTTGGCCCGGGCGAGTTGGATCGCTGCAAACCGCGTTCGCACCAGATGGATGTCGGGCCGTTCCCGAGTCTTCCGAGGCCCCATGCGAGAGCGAAGGTGGCGCGCTTCCTAAGGGCTGTAGGATCAGCTGAATGCGATTTAACTGCCGGAGGGGAAGGGCCCCGCATATCGCCTTTTTCTGTCTAGGGGCTGCCTGGATCTAGCCGACCCTTTCCATTTTGCAGCGCGGGCGCAGAAATCCATTCGGGCGCTTTCTGCGCCTGGCTGACTGACGCGGCGCCCTAGGCGGTCATGGGGCAGAGTCGAGGGGGCGCCAGTGGCCGCGACATCCCGGGCAACGTGGTTGAGTCAAAGGGGCTTCCTTCAGTTGATGCGCGGGCCTGATGAAGCCGGCGTCCGGTTCGCTGATATTCGGGCGGTGGTCACGTTGATTCCCTCAGTTTGGATTTTTGATGTCTCTATATGTGCATAACATTGCAGCGATTAACTTCGCGGGGGCTTGAGCTTCGGCCCCCATTGGCCGTGAAGTCAGACAGGGAGATGCGTCGTCGAAGGCTCTCTTCTCCCAGGCGTTGGACCCCGTTTTCGAAATGGATCATGCATCTGCGCGCGCTTAGGCTGGACTTGGAATTTGCGCGCGCAGATGACTGCTGCTTGAGGCTGCAGAGTGTCCTTCTCGATCTGGGCCAGCCCCCTTCTGCCGTCGGTTTCTCGCGCAACATTGGCAAGTGCAGCGCGCTCGCTTGCGGGGCGCGGTCGCGCGCGCGCCCCCCTCGGCGCGCGAGAGGGAAGGGGGGTCGATTTCATGCGATCAGATACAACACCCCCATTATGCATCGGGCTCGGAGTCGGGCCGGCGGCTCGCGCAGCGGCGCGGCGCGAAGTCGTAATTCAATTTTGGCAGAGGGCGCGTTCTCCTAGGTCTCTGTCCTTGAAGCTGCCGGCTAGCATGCTACTTTTCCAATCGAGCTGCGCATCTGTCTTTCAATGCCGGCCCCCGTTCTTTCTCGTCGCTCCTGAGGCGGCTGGGCAATGCCATGGGGGGCCGCGCAGATTTTGGCGGCGGGGCCGAAACGCGCGCTGCGCCATTGTATGTTTACCCTGCTTCCTGGCGTCGTGGGGTTCCAACGGCTTCGTGGAGTTGAGGCTCTAGTCGGAGTCTACTAAGTAACGTGCCTGGGGCAAGCGCAATGCAATTTCATTTCTCTGCGTGATCCAGAGTTGCGTATTCATGGCGAGTATGATGACGAGGTCTGCCTTGGATGAAGGAACTAGATGATCAGATGCTCGAGCGAGGATGTCGCTGATAGCTTCTCGCCCAACATTAAGCGGGCGAGTGGGGGCATCCAGTGTAGGGCGCGCAGGTATCTTCGAGGGCTTCGAGCGCCGATGGCCCCGCTGCCCCACTTGCAACTTCGCGTCGCACGTTGTCTCATGGAAGTCGACATGCCAGTGTGATGGCGCTTTCGGTCACGGCCCGTGGCCCTCGAA